AAAACGTGTCCCAACTTTTCTTTTCAATTATAACTTTGTTAACTGTTTCCCTTTTTGGTAATCACATTGATGGGGGAGAGGACGGGGGGATGATTTCACAAACCTGTAGGGACTTGGAGGCGGGTTCAATCCAATGAAGAGAAGGAGCCGGTCATTATATTTATCACATTCACGGGGAGCGCTCAACCCGCAGGGGTGACACTGCGACCTGGAGGAGCGGGAGGTATTCAGGCTCGATCAAAAGGAAGGAGAGAGCAGGTCCATGTCCTTGAATCAAGAGCCCATCTCCGTCGTCAAGGAGCCTCCCATATGAGCACTCTATGTTCTTCATTCAAATTTATTTACATCTTGGCTATAACTAAATCATTTCAAACCTTTTTTTCACGTATGAAAATTGCTTTCTCTTGCAACAGCTTGACATTTAAGCCTACGAAGAAACAACACAGCCAACTCTTTCAATAGGCTCATTAAAAAAATAAGCTTAAAGAGTACCTAAAACACATTGTATCACTAATGTGCATTATCAATACTTGGTAATGAAACTGATATATCTAACAAATAACGTATCTAACGTATCTAACATACTTTAAACGTATCTAACATACTTTAAACGAGGTCAGTGAAATGGATATTGGACTAAATTTAATCGTTACAAATTAAAAACTACATATTTTTGTTTATATAATATTACAGCCGGATACGTTAGGCTAGGTAAGGTTTGTCAGAAAACAGGACAAGCGTTTCCTGACGCGGTCTTAGTTATATGATGACCCGCTGCTGGAGCTTTTGGTCATCTGACCGAGGTCCCGCCAGCTTACCGGTCCACCCTTTAAAAATTGTGTTTTTGATTATAACCATTTAATAAATACAAAATTACTTAGGAAGAAGGTAAATTTATTATTATTATTATAATAAAGGAGGAAGCGCCAAACCCGGAGGATTATACAGCGCCTGGGGGGGGGGGATGTGGAAGGCATTCAGGCTTAATTCGGGGAACTGGAGCACAGATCCAATTCCCTAAATCAAGAGCCCCTCGCCACACATCAAGGAACCTTCCTTGAGGGGAGGAAGAAGGTAAAGCTCACAGACACAAATGAAGAAAAACTGTACATTTCCACTTTAAAGCGAAATCCTCTTCCGCTGACAAGAAATATATGTTTATGTAAGGGTCGGGTGACGTGTTGGAAGGGAAGTCATTTCATTGGATTACAGCGCGTAGCTTAGTAACTTTAGGAGCGGGTAAGACTGCGATGTGGTGGTACTAGGTGTCGCTTTCATTGGGTACTGCAGAATATTTCTGTAATACAAATTTGGATACGTCATGTTCTATTTCCCTTCGGTGATTACGTAATATGGGAGGGTGTATCAACACTGCATCAGATGTTTTCCAGTTTGTTGGAATCTTCTACTATCAGGTTCGCTCCTCAGTTTATGGTACTGGTGCGAGCTTTTGTGCTGGAACACCGCTGAACAAAGACCACAATTTGCAGATTGTGCTCGTTACCCACGATTTGCGCCCTTTGTTTCACCAATAGTTTCCAAATCAGTTTTTTTTTTTTATACGAATCATTTTTTACGGGCTGCGACCCAAAACTACTAACACCCAGGTACCTACTTACTGCTAGGTAAAACAGGTGCAGTAGGTTTTTACCCATGCCGGAGATCGAGCCACGGACTCTCAGTAAGTGAGTACATGTTAACCGAGCTACGTGACACTTTTTCGCATGGGATTTGATTTGTATCATGTTTGCGTTGTACATATTTCTTTAAAATTTGGTTTTCGGGGTTTGCTTGTGTGAAAACTCTATGAAGCTTTTTTTTTTTTTTTGCTTTATCCTGGATATTTATCCTCCAACTTACGGTCTTTTGTTTTGGTCCCAGCTTATTTAAGTTTCAGTTATATTTAAACCCTAAATCCTAAAGGAATTAAATGAAACTTAACAAATCCTTGAAATAGGTGTTCCTTCACCGGGGGTATTTTAAAGCTACTTAGTAAGGTAATTAAGGCAATTTCCCAATTCCACAAAATTTAATTTTAAGTGGAAAAACAAGATCACAATAAATGACACTTTTCTTCAGGTCCTGGTAAAAAAGCCAACTTATCTTTGGACTTCGCCTTTTAAACAGAAAACCAACGAACACAGCCAACAATGAACAATATTTCGTTCACCATACAACATAACTATAATTTTGCAGTGTATCCAGACTGTTTCAAGGTCCTTGAGAACTTGCAGCTATGAATGTTGAATCAAAAACTGTAAACCCATAAAGTAGCTGATCCCTTAACAATATGCAAAATTTCTCACTCAGTCGGACTCAGTCTAACAAGTTATTAAAAAAAAATCCAATAATCAAATTAGTGGCATCACTTTTAAAAACTCGCAAATTATTTTATCTTATCCCAACAAAGTTGGAAAGTGTGTTTAATAAAACCTAAAAAAAAAAAAATATCCAGCTATAAACAGGCACAATCCAAGGCAGACAGCTGAGATTTGATACACAGTTGAGAGATGTAATTTACTAACACGGATAACAAAATTTATCTGCAAGATAAAGACCAAGAGTTTTGCGGTGTTCCCAAAAAAAAAATTGCACCTGTACCATAGACTGAGAATAAGTCGAGTAAAAAAAAGTTTAAGATCCACGCAACTAAAGCAATGTTGACAAACTACCACAAATTACATCTTCAGAGAAAAACCTAAACTGACAGATTCCAAATCTGCACAATTTTATCACCAAGTTAGAGAGAAACTTATTACCGGTATATCGTGGGTGGGTCATCTTTAAGTCACTCCACTAAGTCCTCTAATTAAAGAGACAATGCAAGCCGACATGTTGCTTGACCTTTACAGAAACTTCAAATTCGTTCTTGACATCTGCTGATGTCATGGGAGGCCCAATATTTAATTTTTTTAAAAGGTTTCCGTGTTTCTGTCTACAAAGGATTTTACCATCGTACTGAGAAGTTTCATGACAAATTTTATACTTCTACACTTCCTCGATGTTGTAAAATACTTAAATTTTGTATATGGAAAAGCAACACTAGCTGGATTTAAAGTTCATAAAAAAAGTTTTCTAATACATGAAATTTTTATAAATTCGATACAGTAAACAAAAAATTATATTCAGAACCTAGATCTCTATATAGTACATTTTTTTTTATTCATCGGTCGTTTCCCGCCAATCAGCCCAATTCAAATAACTCTCCGATCATCATCATCCCCGCACGTTCATCCTTCAGAGGTGCCCGTACTATACTTGCCCCCACCTGAGCTCCAATATGCGTACGTAACTTCCCTGAATCCATTTACTGATGTTAAATCCTGCCCCCGCCCCACCCCCCCAAAGAAAGTTTTCTCTACTCCGAGTGAAAACAATACATACTTGCTGAATGCTTCAGCCTCGATCACGCTAAACCTTCTTTTCCCACCCTCTCATTTCCATCCTCTGTCTTCAACACAGCCAGATTTATACACCATTTTCGTCAATCCAGTAATGTTCCATCCTTTTTAAAATGACCAGACTATCTCAGCTCCCTTCCGATTTCATTTCTGAACTTCTTGTCAACTACATCGTCAAATTTCAGTTTAATATTCAAACCACCCAAACCCCAGGGAGGGAGGGACCATTCCCCCAAGTTTCCAGGAGGGAGGGAGGGTGGGACCCTATCCCCAACTTTCAAGGGATGGAGGGAGGGACCCTATCCCCAAGTTTCAAGGGAAGGAGGGAGAGAGGGAGAGACTCTTTCCCCAACTTTCGATAGGAACCTCTTTCCCAAAACCAAGGGAATAAACTCTTCCCAAATCCCCCGGGGAAAGATCCTTTCCCCAATACCCCAAAGGCCCAAACTTCAATGGGCAAAATTAGAGGTGGCTACCGCCGTAACAAATGGGAGCATCTAAGACTGCTCAAGTGTAACTCCTGTGAGAGAAAAGAATTGGGAGTTACCTGTCAGGAACTAGTGCTGTTGTAGCTCACCTTGTAACAAAAGAACATACCTGGGCGTCTCGGTCCTCGATGAGGTCTGAAATCCACTTACCTGCAAATTTAATTTTATTTAATAGCACCCCAAACTACTCTAAATAGCACTAACCTATATTAAATATTTATAGGAGAAAAAAAAAAGCGCCCTGTATTGGCCATTCAAGGCGCGATGAGAGAAAAAAATGTCTTATCCTTTAATATACTGTATAGCAACGTGGAAACAATTGGCAAGTCAGTAGAAACTGAGAAAGGAAGTTTCTATGCAGCTTCTCTATATTCAAGTAACTTACGGTCCCTATGATAAATTTAACATTATTTCTTTAACATTTGACAGCTGAGTGACGCTGCCGTTCTCTCTCTTACCGTGTGGCGAAGTATGAAGACACCGAGGTGTCTCGCTGGTGGCTGCCATCCGTGTTCCCTCAGGCTGGTGGCTGCCACCCGTGTTCCCTCAGGCTGGTGGCTGCCACCCGTGTTCCCTCAGGCTGGTGGCTGCCACCCGTGTTCCCTCAGGCTGGTGGCTGTCACCCGTGTTCCCTCAGGCTGGTGGCTGCCATCCGTGTTCCCTCAGGCTGGTGGCTGCCATCCCAGGCTAGGGACCCACCAATAAATATCCGCCCTGCAAAAGAAAAAAAAATAGTTCTTAAATGCGCTTATTTAATAATTCTGGAATTTAAAACTACGCAACCAAAACCCAGCGTTATATTAGGTGGTCCAACAAACGAAAATCAGTTTAAGCTGATTGTGAAATATTCACCCCAACCGTCACATAGTAAAATGGAAGGTGGGAAGCGTTCGTCTTAAAAGATATCCTCATGGAGGAGAGGGATTTTGAATATCTTACAAACAGACGAGACTATCACTACATTCACGGGGAAGAGGCGGGCGCCAAACCTGCAGGGAGGGGGGTTACTCAGAGCCAGGGGGGAGTGGGAGGTTAGTTCTTATTCCTTGAATCAAGAGCCCCTCAACGGCATTTAGGAACCTGTCTAGAGGGGGGGAGGGAAACAGAAGAGAACCGTAACCTTTTAAGTTTAATTATTGCTTGAGACTTAATTCCCTCATCCGCTGTTATAAGAATTTCGTGTTTAATTATTTCGACGCCTCAGAGCTATTTAAATTTGGACATTTGAAATTTTCCAGATTTTTTTGCCAAATTTGTCGTGAACTTACCTTTAAAAGACGTTTTAGATAATTTAGCTTCCAATTACACACACATGTACATTTTTCCTCTCAAGTTTGTGTCGCCCAAGGTGTGTCCTGATGCTAGTCAAGCTCTTGGCCCACAAACTTGGAACTACCTTTCCCTTCCTTGGAACAAAATTATTTCGTTCCATTCCACTGGCGCTATGATCCCTTATTGGTTAACTTTTTCCCGATATAAGACATGATCGACGTCTATATCTTCAGAGATGACAAATTACAATGTTAATTACATATAATTATGACAAATTGCATAAAATATTCCATACGCGAGTCAATAATGGCACCAACAGAGCGACCACACTACAGTAATACAATGGCACCAGCAGACAGTGACACACTAGCACCAACAGATTATAATACATTGGCACCAGCAGACAGTGACGCACCGGCACCAGCAGAGTGACGCACTAGTGCCAGCGCGCGCGCACACGCTACCAATCTGGCACAAGTGAGCACTGACACAAGGTACCAGTGGACACAGACTAATATCATAATGGTACCTGTGGAAGTACCAGTACAATATCACCAGTACTCACACTACAACACTAGTACACAGTACCTAGTAGCGATCAGTGAAGAGGCGGGGCCAGGAGCTGAGTCTCGACCTCTGCAACCACAATTAGGTGAGTACACACTACAGGAACCCAGGCTTCCCATCTAGGGTATTCACTTTTTTTTATTCACGGGGAAGCGCTAGACCTGTAGGGCTTTTATAGTACCTGGTGGAATAGGAGGCATTCAGGTTCGATCCAAGGAAGGGGAGGTTATATCTAGTTCCTTGGATTAAGAGTATCTCACCGGTGTTTGGGTCCAGTGTGTCTGTCGGGACAGCCATGACACAACTAAACACGGAGGAAAACCTTAATTTATCTCTAAAAAAAAAAAATAATTCTACCAAGCCTTTTCCTTAAAGCTTCCCTCATTTACTTTAACACCGTTAAAAAAAAATGCTTACCTTTCGTATTTAATCAATATTTTCCAGCGAAATATTCCACTTTCCCTCCACAGTACTAAACAGTCTAGTGACAATGCCTATATGGCGCGCGCGGGCGAGTGTTCACCGCTAGGAAGACTAACTTGTTCGATTTTTTTTTTTCACTTGACTTCGTTATCTCCTGCCGCTTCTGTTTCTAAGCTGTGACAGTCTTTTAGATGCTGAATTTTTCCTTCCTACATATTACGTTTCATAAAATCGTGTTTTCGGTTTGATATATGAAAAATTAGTGAAAATCTGATACAGTATTAAGAAATAGATATAGCTAATGGGAACAGGTGATCTATCTGGCCAAAACCCTCCTGATTGTTATAGCAGACGCTCATCTAATGGTTATAATTATTACCATAATTTTTAAAGGGGTGAACTGGTAAGCCAACGGAAGGCCTCGGTCAGATGACCCCTAGCTCCAGCTAGGGGTCATTATATGCTTAAGACCTGTGTCAGGAAACACTTGTAAGGTTTAATAACAAGCCTTACCTAACCTAACCTGTTACAGCACTGACAGTGACGCCAGGTAGTTTCTCTAAGGATTGTGATTGGTTAGATCTGGCGTGACACGTGATTTGTCCAAATATAAGTTTCTTCGGAATTAAAAGGGTGATATGACTCACTCAATGTATATATGCTAAGAATTTACTTTAATCTTTATTTAAGGGATTAAATTATTCTTGACTGCTGATGAGCAAGTGACATGCAGCCTTAATGACTCTCGTGAAGTCGATAGACTTTAACACTAATAAATAAACCAAACAAAACGTGTATCTCGGTTTATATAGACAAAATTTACTTCAGTTATAGTTTTAAGGATTAAAACGTATTTGAAGTTAATTTTCCGGTGAACTGCAAACACAAAATGTATATACAGAGTGCGCACACGAGGACGTATTATGTTTTTTTGTTTCAGGCAGAGTCGGTTAAACAATCTGAACTTCCATAAAAACACGAGTACGTCTTTTCGAAAATTTTCTCTTGTGCACTGACAAGCATTTTTGTTTTATGTGAATAACAGTGTACAGTTATTTCAAGATCATATTTATTTTCCTGGAAGTCACTGTGTCGATGAATTTGCACTTTTCTTGTTTGGAAAAACAAATGTTGCTTTATGAGTCAAGATCAAAAGTCCTGGCTGCATCCTGCATGACGTGTACACTGAGAGATGTGTATCTCTCAGTGTATAGACACTGAAATTTTATTTTCATTCTCATCTAAGGGATTTAAAGTTTTAAGTTTTCTTGATATTTGTGTTTAGGTTGTTTTTAAATGAGTTTCCGTGAAGTCAATAGGCTTTAAACCTAACTCACACTATGAGCCACTGTAGAATGTGGCTCATAGTGTGTGAATTTGGGTTAGTGAAGAGAACTCCACGCATTCCAAAACTGCTACATTAGTCACGGAGTTCTGTCTAGGTCATCACCCAACACCGGAAGGAAGATGAAACTGAATATAGAGAGGATTTTCACTGCACGTATATGCTCAGAAAAGCACATTACTGGGAACGTTTGAAGTTCCTTGACCTGTAGTCGTTGGAGTGCAGGCGAAAAAGGTACATCATAATTTACACCTGGTAAATCATAGAGGGACTGGGCCCAAATCTTCGCACAAAAATCACTCCCTATGAAAACAAAAAACACGACAGGCGGTGCAGCATCACCCAGAAAGGCATGGGTACCGTGAGTACACTGAGAGAAAACACAACAGGTGTTAGGGGCCCAAGGCTGTTCAACAGTCTCCCTTCATATATTAGGGGGATTATTTATAGATCCCTATACGTCTTAAGAAGGAAACTGGACAGTCCTGACCAGCCGGGCTGTGCTTCGAACGTTGGATTGAGTGTGGCCAGCAGTAACAGCCTGGTTGACCAGGCTCTGATCCAACTTGAGGTCTGGCCATAGACCGGGCCGCGGAGTCGTTGGTTCCCAGAAACCACTCCTTTCTTCACTGTAAACCCTAGTGCGGGACTGCCCCATTAAACTTTACCTCTCATACTAATAAATCTTACAACGTGCACTTCACGTTCCCTTAACGCTTGACCTGATATGCATGCTTACATGCTACAACATCTACACCCAACATTGCTTGTCTCCCTCTTACATGTTTTCAACAGGGCATGAGCCAAAGGTGCTTTGCCCTTAAAGCGGAAAACTGCACTGGTCTTACCTTTCCCTAAACAACGTACTTCGGGACAAGATTATTTCCATTATAGACCCATAGCCCTTACCATTATTCTTTGTAAATTGTTAGAGCCCTTAGTCAATAAGAGCCTCGTTTGGTACTCAGAGACCCTAAACTGTATCTCCCCTCGTCGATTTGTTTTTAGAAAGGGTTCGTTCTATCATCGACCTCCCTTCTCCGACTTGATGCATACATTCGAAACGCCTTCTTGAATAAACATTCAGTTATTTCTGTCATTTTTTATCTAATAAAAAGAGCTTTAGACTCTGCTTGGCCCTGCAAAGTTTCATTCCAAGCCCATTCCTCAGGCATCCTGGGCAGACTACCTCTCTACCTTAAACATTTTCTATAAGAGAAGCACTTCTGGCTTCAAATGAATAGTAGTATTTCCCTTAATTTTCTGTAATGCTGCTACCTTCGTACTACTTTATTCCCGACAGCCATTAATGTACTTGCCTTGTTCTTCCCGTAAGTATCAGATCATTTTTATGTGCAGATTATTTAGAAATTAACTGTGCCAGCCCGGTCTCTTGACTTCTAGAGACTACTCTGCAACACTCTACAGATCTAGGTGCCCAGTTCCGCTACTTCACATGGTTTAAAGTTTTCTATTGCTAAAACAAACTCGATAACGTTTTCATGATGCCCTCTCACCACACAGCCTAGTTTACACCTGTATAGCTCCCCTATCCTACTATTTGCGACCGTTAAATTTCTATCCCATGTCTTTAACTGTCGCGTGTCATGGCAAACCAACATCATTTCATCATCACTCGTTTTACCTGGGAGTTAATTGGCAAACTCTTTTAATTCTTTAAGGAACTGTAATTCTGCTTTAGCTAAACCACGGGGACCACATATTTTGGTAGAATTGCCGAGCTTTGTTAAGACGTAACGGCTTGACAAAGCTCCTGGAAAGCGTAACGTTGCCACAGTAAAATGTTACATTAGTTGCATCTATGTTCTTTTACTAAAACAACATATTTAACTCAGCCTCCCATCCATTTTTAAGAAACTCACTGAAATTCATAATCAAAAGTTACGTTTATGTTTTAGGGCCCTTTCGATCTTCCCGGTCGAAAGTTTGTATTTAGTAGTATCGCACGCAATGCGCAGTACCTGTTTTTTTTTATTATTTTACTATTCGCTCCCACATTCTTCACAATCCTCATATGCACGGAATAATCACAGATGTTAGATAAATTTATTTAATAGCAGCCCAAATTGTTGCGGCTTATTGTTTCCGGGTTCGAACTTTGGCAGTATCTCTTACGCTGACCTCTTTTTCTCTTTATGTTCACCACTTATTGTACTCGTCATACCCTCCTTGGGAAGGTCCGGCGATTCACATTTGTTTCTCTTACGAAGGCTAACATTCTTGCTAAAAACTCACGCTCACTCTTCTTTGATCACTTTCAGTCGCAGTCTCATGTTCTCATATTAATATGGCTCACAAAGGTTTAAGGACTCATATGCCATGAGTTTGAATTCCACCCGTTCCGTGATTTCTCATATTAATGGTATACAATACAGGCATGTTGATAAATAAGACACATGTGCAACACTTAAATATCTATATAGCCGAAACGTTTCGCATAAGTCGAATACAGTAGAAACAGTTGGAGAAGTGGATAGATCTCCCAAAACTACCTCTCCATTCTTACTGTCTCAAGTGTTATATTCATTCGATCGAGGAAGCTTGCTGTGCAGGCGAAACGTTTCGGCAATATAGATACCTGAGTGATGCGCATCAACTCCATCCTCAGATGGAGTAGAGTACGCAGATGTCTGCCATTATTTTCACAGAAGAGTTATATGTCACAATAGTTGCTGTCAGACACACTGCAACCATGTCCACCTCCTCATTCGTTGTTGCTTCAGATTCTCCTGAAAAATGACTCACATCCCATCCTACTACTTAGACAACAATGGTTATGTCGAACTTCTGGGAAGCATGAAGAAATGTTTTTTTTCTTCTTTTTGCGTCTCTGGACGCATTGACGATCAAAGTATTGAGGAGGCAGACTCAGTCGCCGGTCACATCTTCCAGTATCCCACAGGAGAGTTTCTTCCATTTTTTATGACTATTTTCCAGTAGTTTCAAAGATTCTGAAACCGCTGGCCATGGCGTTGCCGCATAACTTTAACAGTTAACCATATATCATTAAACTATCTATCAGAAAGAACGCAGAATTCCCTTTCGACATCTTCAACGCCCTGACAGCTCTCATTTTAACTGCCCTCCTCACCGAAAGTCCCACCTTTGACTTTTAAGAGAAACTAAGATACTGTTTCAACTATGATATTAATTTTAAACGTTCCTTAACTCTCAACTTCACTAATCCTAATTAATTAATTAATTAATTAATAATAATAATCATAATAATAATAATAATGTCACACATCCGATAGCTTGAACGGTGCAACACATCTCCTTGGAACAGGAGTCATATGTCGTGTACAGGTGGTGGACTGTAAACTTATTTTATTAAAAGCGTTGTGAGTATGAGATACATAATGAATACAATTAACCTACAAGGGAAATATATGCTTTTATGCTGACGAATGGCTTCCGATCCAAAAATTTGTAGCTATCTTACCCTTCACAGCTCAAGCTTAAATAACCTCTTACCCTTTCCCTCCCATCACCCACGAATACTATCTACTTTGAAAAGACATTACTCGTTTTCTAGAGTTTTATTTTTGATAACTAATATTGTAGTTTCGTCAACGAATAAAAGGCCAATAAAACGTGAGGAAAACATTAGTCTCTATTCAGTGAAATAAAATATACAAACACATTTAAAATAAAGTACTGGTCGTGAGTGTTCCGTAAAGTGGAGCTGCGAGTGAGCAGGTCAGTGTATTGGTTAACCTGCCCTGTGTGTTCCGTAGCGTGGAGCTGCGAGTTAGAGGTCAGTGTACTAGCTCACCTACCCTCGTGTGTTCCGTAGCGTTGAGTTGCGAGTAGGCAA